AATTGTACTATGAAAAATGTAATAGATAAGTTATATGTTCTATTTTCTATCTATCATAAAAATCATTAACCGCTAAAAAGAACTTTTTGCTTAATTTAATCATGTCAAAAATTAAAAAATTTACAAATAACAAAGTGAAAAGTATACCTTTTATGTTAAACAAATTTTAAATTTAATTTAATCTTTCATGTCATGTTTATTTGAAATTGAAAAATGAGAAATAACATATTAACCTTCTTTTATATCTAGAACACCAAGAATATAATTATGTTTGTACGTATTATCATAAATATGTGAACTAATAAACTTACATTGCAATTTATTAGAAATATAACAAAATTTTGTGTGGTTACTACATTAAATAATATTGCAAATTGAAAATGAAGTTTTGCTAAGCAAAAAGACTTGATCACAATCACATATTCGTGTAACATATTCATATACCATGGAATTATTTAACTATACTAAAATAGTTCATCCATGTGTCATCATAATACATTCCGAGTTATCTTAGTCTATCATAAACACGTCCGTGACAAATTGGCAAAAGAAAGCACATAAAAAATCAAGGTATTATTTTCGTCTCTAGGAATGGAATTGAACATTTCTCGCTTATTAAAAATGATGGGTGTGCCTACGGTGACATGCATGTCACGGCGACTTGCACTTTCCGGTCGACCTCAGTTAGGATTAGGTCGACCTCATTTAGAATTCGGTCGATCTCATATACGATCTGGTCGACCTCATTTAGGATTCGGTCGACCTCGTATAGGATCAGGTCGACCTAATCTGTTGTTTCAGTGTAAAAACAGTTCATGGTGCCTACTTTGGATATTCATATCATACAATTGGCTAGATGGAAATTGAAGACTAATGACTTATTTTGAAGCTGGAGTGTCCCTCTACATATTGAAGTGATTGAGAGCTAGATAGGAAGTCCAGAAGACCATTTTTGAACCTCATCAAAAGGCTACGCCAAAACTGGGAAACTGCCTAGAAATGGCTAAGTCTGGAAACGTGTTTGTGAAGCCTATTTTGGACCTCAATTCGAGAAGCATGAATGCGAGTCGAGTCCAGGAGCCTCTACCACATTAAATTAGGTATGTTTTTATACAAATTCAAGGCATTGGATGAAAGATTGGATATCTATAAGGCTTCAAACAAAAGGGTCGAAGTTGCTACGAAGGTTGTTTTTCTAGCAGACTTCGAGCACAAGCAAGCTGCCAGAAAACAGCCTTCGTAGCAACTTCGAGCCTTTTGTTTGAAGCCTTAAAGATATTCAATCTTTCATCCAATACCTTTCCTTTGTATAAAAAAATACGTAATTTAACGTGGTAGAGGCCCCTGGACTTGACTCGCATCCATGCTTCTCAAATTGAGCTCCAAAGTAGGCTTGACAAACATGTTGCCAGACTTGGTCATTTTCAGGCAGTTTCCCAGTTTTGGCATAGCCTTTTGGTCAGGTTCAAAAATGGTCTTCTGGACTTTCTATTGAGCTCCCAAGTACTTTAATGTGTAGAGGGACACTTCAGCTTCAAAACAAGCCTTTAATCTCCAATTTCCATCTAGCCAATTGTAAGATATGAATCTCCAAAGTAGACACCATGAAACTGTTTTTACACTGAAACAATAGATTATGTCGACCTGATCCTATATGAGGTCGACTGAAAAGTGCATGTCACCGTAGCAAAGTCCAAAATGATATCAATACCTTTTCCCTAATACAAATTCCAATTTTCCATTTTTTTACATCATTTCATCCTTTTTGCAGGCTTTCATCCACAAATAATAAAACGAAGTTTTAAATTTTCCCTAATGAAATTCTAATTTCTTTCTTTTCCTTTTTATCTTTTGAAATTAATTATTTGTTTATTTTTCCTAGATGCTTGAATATGAAAAATCTTGGGTCAAATTTTGATGCATTATCCCAAAACTATTCCGACATAAATAATTTTTAAAATATTGGATAGATCTAATGATCAAGGTGTAAATAACGTTTTATACCTATTTTTATCAATCGAATTATGTGTCATTCGTTTGGGATTCTAAAAACTTTTCTATAACAAAATGAATCACTATGATATAGCCATACCTATATTTATCATATATACCACAATGATATTATTTACATAACACCAATGTATAGTAAAACTCCACTAACGTGTTAGCTTTGTTTCTAAATATTTCCCAGTGAATGTTATCCACTAGAGTATAACGTTTTTATTTTATGAAATGATTTAAAATGCTACTTAAATTAATCAAATATAGACCGTTAAAATTTAATGGAGACTGTGCATTGTGCACAAATTTACGCTTATACAACTAAACTAATCTTGATAATTTTCACAATAATCCATTTTTCTTCCAAAAATAATGAAAATGAATTTGATTACCTTTCTCATATTTTGACTTTGCTCAACTCACAGCCTTTCGCAAAATTCTCTTTTCTTTTACAATCTTTTTCCTCTAACAAACACTGTCCCTTTTGTAGACATTTGGATTTAACTCCACTTAAGTTGTGATAATTTGTAGATAAATTAAAATAGGGTAAATACAATATATTAGCCATAACTATTATGAAGCGGGAAATTATAGCCACAACTATGGAAATTCAAATTATTAGCCAAACGTTAACTATCTGTTAACAATTCCGATAGTAATACTAACTAAACTTTTATATTTAAAAGTTATAAATCAAAAGCAGTCCGACGTGGCTGCTGTCGTGGCTGATGGCGTGGCCGTCTCCATTAAAAATTCAATAACAGTAACGGACAGTTAGCCATATCTTGACCCGCAATAATAGTTATGGCTAATAATTTGAATTTTCATAATTGTGGCTATAATTCCCCGCTTCATAATAGTTGTGGCTAATATATTGTATTTACCCATTAAAATATCATTAGCCTTAGCTTTTGCTTTTACTTCATTATTGTCTGAGAATATCATTTCAATAACCAATGTCATCACATTTTCATAGACTTCCGAACTTCGAATTCTCTCAAGCCGCCATCGTTCCCAAATTCATTCTACATAGCCCACTTAGTAGGATTTGTCCAATATATCCTCTCTTCTAAATAGTAAATCTTCATTTTCCAATCAAACCCTATAAATTACTCAATGTTGACCACTATGTAACTCATGTAAGGTGTTTGTTAGAATGTTTATGAATGATTGGTAGTAATAGTATAACTACAAAGAAGCAACATTTACATTCACTGCCACTGATAGCAATGTGGAGCGGATGCAAAGTGTCTCTGTAACTAACAGTTTGTTTTTATATCACTCATAAATGTTAAAGACAATTAGAATAATAGTTGTATAGTTTATATGCGTAGGATTGTAACTACACCTTAATTATATTATATGCTCATAATATGCAGTTAGTTGTCTTTCGCTTTTGTTTATCTAAACCATGTTGATTTCTTGGGTTCTTAATTCTTATGTAAAAAAAAGTACATCATAACCAAAGAACTCTACCATTCTAAAAGTCTCACTTTGTTGTTAACAAGGAAAACTCAAACTTCTTACAACTCAACAACCCTCTCAATTCTTAAGGTTTTATTAAATTTAGATAGCAAAATTGCAAAACATTCTTAGGAGTGCATAAGGATCTATAATGGTATATTAAGCTTTAATTTATTGAAAGACTATGTGCAACTTATGAAATTGAAATGTTTTGGCCAATCAAAAATCGAATGGTCGTGAATATAATCTTTCAACGTGCGATGAAGTAACAGTTCTTATTGTTTGGTATTATTGTTGATCCTCGCAAAAACCGCACAAAATGTATGTCCCTTCTATAAATTGAAACTCATATAATAAATAATAAGAATAAATAAATATAAAACTAGAAGCCCCACACCATATTATTCAACAAAAACTATCACAGATCAAATTTTGTATTCTATTTGTTTAGCAATGATAAAAAATCATTAACAACTACAAATAACATATTTTAAATTTTTAGTTTATAATATGTTTGATAATTGCTTATAATTTTTTTTAAAAAAATTAAAATATTCAAAAAGCATGAATTTAGTTGGTACACAATTCTAAACTTTTACATAATTTTACTTATGATTTCTTTTAAAATTGAAAAATGAAAAAGCAAAGAATATAACCTTAGCTTGGCACGTCTTCTTTTCGCCTATGCAAAAAGAACGAGGTCTCTCGGAAAAAAATAGTGGGTGAGAGGTGGGCGTTCTTAAAAATGGTGATGGTTTTACAAAGACTCATTTCAATAGCATATATAAGACGTTCTATATACAATGTGAATAGATACAGAGATAAGGGGACATCTCTTGACTGGTTGTGTCAAACTCACAAGGACTGGTTGGTTTTGTGATCTTGTCATTGTTATAACTTATAACCTAGAAACTTTGGATTGGTAGTATAACCTAGGGTCTTTGGATTGGTTCAGGTTTAGAGTGTGACACCTGTTGATCCACAAATCTGTCTTTTGACATTATATCACATAAACATCCCCCCCTAATTCTCTTACGATGAATATTACAGAACACGTAATGCACCAGATTCAAATTCAGCATGTAATAAATTGTAAAATGACGGTCTCTTATTATATTATGCAATGAAATGGACTAGATATCTTGATTGTCTTTGATTCTCTTATTCTCTTTTTGTATTGAAATTGTCTTCCATTTCCATACAGGGAGTTGCTATTGATGAAGTTTTTTCTTTGGTAAGGCCTTATCTGATGGAGAATTACAAGCTAGTGACCGGTCAGTTGGTTGGAATCGATCCTCACATTGAGCAAGTGAAGAGGCTACTTAATAAAGGAGTGAAAATTGTTGGCATTCAAGGTATGAGCTGTATTGGTAAGACCAACATAGCCAAAGCCGTTTATGACAGTGTTAGTGCACAATTTGATTGATGTTGCTTTGTAGAAGACGTGCGAGAAATATTGTCAAAGAGTGACGACATTGTTACTTTACAAAACAAGATTCTATCTGGCATCGTAAGGGATGATATCACTGTGAGAGATGCCAGTCAAGGAATCCAGAGTGTCAAAGACAAAGTTTGTTGCAGGAACAACATTCTCATCGAGCTTGATAACGTTGATGAGGCGTTCGAGTTTGACAAAAGGTTGGGAGATTTGACGCATTTTGGCTCAAAAAGTCGCTTTATCATTACAATTGTGGATGATGGAGTTCTTAAGTTCTTTCAAGAATATGAGTTGTACCAACTAGAGGGAATGAATGTTGACATCGCACTTCAACTCTTTAGCAGACATGCCTTTGGGACTGATTATCCCCCAAAGAGTATATCTCTCCATCTGAGGACTTCGTAGTAGTTGGCTAGTTGCAGCATGTCTTCCTTTGGCTGTCAAGGCCATAGGTTCTAGGGGTGGGCAACCGGTTCGGTAAACCCGAACCAAACCTAAACCGAATTAAACCGAACCGAAACCGAATTAATGCTATTCGGTTCGGAATTTGGAAGAAAAATATGGATAGTTCGGAAACTAGAGTTCTCTCAACCGAACCGAATTTCTAAGACCGAGAAACCGAAATACTATAATTGCAAGCTCCAAATGGTGGATTTTTATGTTTGTAGTTGATTTTAGACTTAAATATTTGAAATATTGTATGACTTATGTGTTGAAAAGTTTGATTTTATCATTGATGATGCATATAATTACATATTTATTGTTTATATTAGGGGTAAAAAATAATCTAAAAGTGAGAAGATATAAGTAGCTTCACAAATTTGGTTTTGTTTGAAAACCCGAACCGAACCGAATTATAATTAAGTTCGAATTCGGTTTGAGGTTTGGAAGAATTCGGGGACCCGATATTCATAATTTCGGTTTGGTCGAAACCGAACCGACCGAATGCCCACCCCTAATAGGTTCACTACTTTTCCGCAAAGATAAGATGTTTTGGAGTGCAAAGCTGAAGCATTTAAGAGAGATACCTCCTAGTCCTACACGGGTGCAAAAGAGATTGAAGGTCGTTGATAGACCGTTAGTTACACATGTTTTTACCCCTGCTCTTACTCCGTTTGAGGTATTGATTCTCGTGTTTTAGGCCGATTTCACGCTAGGTTGTGCTTGTTTATGATATTTCAGGTCCTAGTACGTGAATGGAGGCTTGGGAGCGAGTTTGAGGTCGATTGGACGAGGATCGGACGCATGGCGAGGTTCTGAGGAAGTCGCACGGGCACATCCACAACCCGCACGGCCGTGCAAGTGACCAGTTTGGCCGTGCGGGATTGTGCGTGGGCACGCACGGGATTGTGCGTGGCCACGCACGGCCGTGCAAGTGACCAGCCTGGCCGTGCGGGATTGTGCGTGGGCACGCACGGGCACAAGTGAAATCCGCACGGCCGTGCAAGGTGCAATCCTGGCCGTGCGAGTTGGTTGAGGTTCGACTTATTGATACGCCGCGTTTTGGAGTGAACGGCCAGAATGGTGATGTGCACGGCCGTGCACCCTGGCCGTGCGAGTCGGGAATTGCTGTTTAAAACCCGATTTTCAGCCAAAGGAAGAGGGAGCTGGGTTTTGGATCCCAAACACCCAAGGGACGAACCCTAGAGAGAGAGAGCGACTTGGGAACATTCTTGGAGCTATTTTGGAGGATTTCTTCGCCATTGGAGCTCGGGAATCAAGCCCGGACTTGAAGACTGATCATCTGAAGATTCTTACTGCAGTCTCTCTCTTCTCTATGGAGTAACTTCCCTTCACTTAGGTTTTGAGGAACCCTAGCTATGTTTGTTTGATTGGATGATTGTATGAGTACTCTGACTTGATAATCTTGAGTTCATATTCAATCTATGCATGTTTTCACGATTCAATTCTGCTTTAGTCGAGATTATTGATTCTGCTTTGATCCTATGAGAGCGAATACCTGATTAGGTCAATAGAGCACCATAGATTGATAGTAGTGGATCGATTGCTTTAGTCGAGGGTTGATTCACTGCTTTGTATCGATTGAGAACCTCATTCGATAGAGGGAGTCTAGTTCAGAACGCCTTGATCGATTGTTCTAGAGAAGGATACGTCCCTCTAGGCAATTGACTCAAGAGGGCCTTGTTCCTTTAGTCGAGACTCAAGGTCTAGTCAAGGATTCTCCGCATTGTGAATGAAGTGAAACAAGTTAGAAATCATCGATCGTTAATCTGGCTAGTGGCTAGGGGGAATCGTACCTAAGTGAGTTCCCAACCTGTAATTAGATTAACTTTAACTATAGTTTGCTAGAGTAGTTTTAGTTCTTTCATCTTGATCTGTTTTGCTAGATAATGAACTGAAGCTGAGTAATAGTAACTCTAGAGACCCGTGGATTCGATATTTATTACTTGAGCCACTATACTGCAGTCCCTTTCATTGGTTACACTTGGCCATTGTTAGGAGTTGTGTTTTAGCGAGTCAAGTTTTTGGCGCCGTTGCCGGGGACCTTTCTAGAGTATTAGGAAAGGCAGAAGTTTGTTACTTTAGCGGTTTTCTTTTCTTTTCCACCCTTGCTTTTCACTTGGGTGTTTTTGTTTTTGTTGGTGCAGATCTGAATCATGGATCCTCATGGCTTCTCCAATCATTGGGGGTATCACCACCATCCGAGTGGTATTACCCCGAGACACCCTGGAGCAATCAAGGAGGAGAAGACTATGGATTCGGGTTCCAGTACCAACCCCCTTACTACGGAGTACAATCTGACCCCTGGGCATATCAAGAACAATTTCATTACCAAGATGACTTTCTTCCACAACCAGAAGGGCCATCAGAGCTGGAGTTACCCATGGCGGCCTTCACGGGCCATTCTGCAAAGCCATGCTACACTCCACAGCCAGATCCAAACTATGAACTGAGGCTTCTCTTGGAGCAATTCGTTCGGGACTCCGATAGACGCAATCGCAAGATGGATCTTCAAATCCAAGCCCTTTCCTCTTCCGATCCCTCATTTCTCCATGATATGGAGGAGGCTGTTCAACGCTCAGCGAAGCAAACAGAGTGGGTGGAGCAAGTTTGCTCACAACTTGCTCAAGATCACCCGTCTGCTACCATACTAGAAGAGGACGAGGAAGAAGAAGGCTACAAGGACATTGTGGAGCACACAGAAGTTGTCACGGAGAGCTCCCGTGATGATCATGATCAGGAATATCCTGTCGTAGCCGGCCACCCTTTCCCACATCCCACACTGAGCTTTGAAGAGGTGGGCATGAGTGAGGAGATGCAAGAAGATCTCATGAAAGAAATTGCTTGGCAACTTGCTCTCCAATCCGTGCTAGAAGAAGAAGAGCAAGAAAGGGTGCAGAAAGAGGTTGTGGAGGATGACGAAAGCGAAGCAGGAGGAATTCTTGATCATTTCCCAGGGGTGATACCACATGAAGAAGAAAGGGAGGTTGAAGAAGCAATTGGCGTCCAGGCTGAGGACGGAGTTGAGGTGGAAGAGGCTTGCACCGGCCATGAGTTACTTGTGATATCCCCACCAAACTTCGAGGAATTGCTCAGCAAGGACCCATTTGCAGTGTCTCTTTGCCAGACCAAGGACACATCGACATCGGTCCCTCTTGGTGGACGCGATGGTGGTCAATCGATGTTGTCATATCTGGTTTGGGGCAATGAGACGAGAGAAGAGAAGAAGAGGTCTCGAGGGTGGAGACTTCATCTGCATCAAGTGCACGAGCCTTCATCACCTGCCGCACCACATGCTCGTGACTTGAGACTCCACCTCATCGACGAGAACCTCAACTTCAAGGAGGTTTTGGGGTGGACCAAAACTTAGGAGCCATCATCCGGCTCACGACGTGAAAGAAGCGCTTGTTGGGAGGCAACCCAACCAGTCGGTTTGCATTTCTTTCTCTATTTCTCCTCGGTCGAGTCAGTTTTGTTATTTGATTTTAGAGTCAATAACTCCACCTTTGTGAGATTTTGTGTGGTGTTTGTGTTCTGATTACTCTCTCTTCTTGGAATGCACCGCCTGCCCCGTCCATCATCATTCACCCTTGATCTGGTAACTTCGTTCTATCCTCCTTATCTTTCCTCCATTGAGGACAATGTCGTGCTTAAGTGTGGGGGAATGTTCGATTATGTATGCGGGTGAGTGTTTAGCTGTTTGTGTGCTTGGAGCCTAGTCCACTGTCCAAATTTTTAAATTTGAGGGCTCCAAGTACGTGTTCCCTGCAAATTGCCTGCTCAGTATGCTTTGAATTGGCAGTCTCTGTAGTGATTTGCAACCTAGGGAGGTAGTGTAGCACTATGGAGGATGTTGATGCATTTAAGACGTCTCATTTCTTCTTCATAGTGTGTTGGTTGATTGAGTGAATTAGTGATCTTAGGACCCTTGAATTGTGTGGTGCTGTGGACTCTCTGCCTGTCATGGACTCTTGTATCATGTTTTGAAAATAACAGGTGCTCGAAAATGTGCTTTAAAATAACGTCTCCCGTGCGAATAGGGCGAAAGTGTGTAAGGGGAGACGGGAATCCGTTTAGGGATGGCAATGGGTCGGGTCGGGGGCGGATAGTGCATATCCGTTACCCTACCCAAAGCAGTTCGGGTTTTACCCATACCCATACCCACATGTGAAACGGGTAGAAAATCAAAACCATGCCCATACCCGTTCGGGTTTCGGGTATCCACGGTTATCCATGGGTAATCATTTCTCTTCATAACTTCAACCAATATGTTAACATTCACACGAATTATCACATTACGTAAGAGGAAAAGTACGACAATAATTCACTAGAATGAAGAAAATTAATTAAAACAAAACAATTTCATGAAAATATTATACTTATATGCTAAATATAAAATATGTTAGAGAAAAATAATGATTATATCTAGAGAAAATACATATGCATTTGTATAATCGGGCGGGTTCGGGTTGGATAGTGAGAAATCCATGCCCACCCATTACCCACAATATTCGGGTTCGGGTTTTACCCGTACCCACTAAATGTCTTTCGGGTTCGGGTTTTACCCAACCCGATTAGGCCGGATTCGGGTGGATATCCACGGTTACGGATATTTCTGCCATCCCTAAATCCGTTCCCAATTTCCACCTACTACCTCCAGCCCCCTTACATGTCTTTCCCCCGCACGAGGCTCGAGACAACTGCTCCTGGCATGGCCGGTAAGAGCCGGGCTCCCGCAAAACCTTTGCTAGG